ACGAACATTTTAATACCTAGGGCTGTAATGGCTGAACAGATCGCCTAATCGATAATATTTTATTTAGATAAGTAAATTTTAATCAGCAACTTTGGCATTTTACGTGGTTTAGGAGTTTCTGTTTTGGTTATTTTAATTTAATTAGGACAAGAGGGTAATTGAACAAAAAACAAAAAACACGAAATATACGTACGAGATGAGATTTAAAAAGACATGTAGCCAATGGAGTAAATGGATAACTTAAACTCTAAAAAAAGCGAGTAATGGACAAAACGAACGCAATCGTGCGATTTTCAAATTTCCCCCATAACTGTTCTAATGGTCCTTTTGTTATTGGGGTGAGATTTAGTTCTCGGTAGACGTGTTTGAGACCCGAACAAGTGTCCTCTCGCTTAGGTTATTATTAGAGTGTGATTATTACATGTTAGTTGACTTAACCCTCCCGGGAGGTGGAAAAATAGTCGCGTTAAAAACAGCGTCACGATCGACAGGTACGCAGCGAGCTGAAATAAATATTGAACCGTCACAGGCATGTAAGATACACTTTGTGCGTTACCAGGAAGTTTCTCACGCATTGCACAAGTGTTACAGGAGTGCATATGTAGAACTCAAATACATATTGTGGTTTCGCAGTTGTTTGACGCTCTCTCTATGGAATTCGAAGATTTTTTATTGTCAGCTGTAATTAGATGTTAAGTGTAAACGGTCACAATAGAGTCGAGCTACTTCTTGTTAAGGAGTACGCATGCTGTTGTATCGAGAGAAAATGATTTACCGTGACATTTACACAGATATCATTGATAAATTTGATGTAATTTTCATGGCTATCTAAGCTGTACATGTTGCACGGCGTCGACCAAGGCCACATACTTTTTTGCACTAAAATGCGTATTTACTTGCTTTTACAGTGCCGTACGGTGCTAGTCATTTGCACGTTTGGTTATGTTTATGTTTGCTTTTCTAAAACTATATATGCAACTGTGTTTTGACAGCTGTTAAATTTGACCACTTGCAGCCTATGTCAAATTGCTTTTCCCAGGGAAATTCTCAATCGCGTTTCCAGTGCACTTTCCCTTGCAGATTTTCAGTGTGGCACCAAAGATTTTTAATAAGAGATTAAAGAAGTGAGCAAAAAGCTGAAAAAGGCTTAACCCTAAGTGGTCAAATTTATTGGTTACCCAAATTTGGATCAGGGGTTAGGTCACGCGAAGGATCAAATTAAGAGAATTTTCAAATGTTATCTACATTTTCGGTAGTTATATATGTCACCAAACCTAACATACTTCTCTTTTACTAAGTTTAAGTTTTAAGAATACGTTGAAATGTATTTTTGGATATGTAGTATAAACTCAACAGATCATTTCTTCAAGTATAAGAAGCAATGTTTTTGTCAACAAATGTTTCTAAATGCTTTTTTAAATGAAGACTAACTTTGACCGGTTTGAACGACACCTGGTACCTTAAATTTCGAAAAAAAAACNTCAATGCCGAGACGAGACTTAATTTCCAAAGGCCAAACTTTCCAGATGTATATTTTGATAAATGAGCTTTCGTCTGGTATGGTTATAATGTCGAAATTTAAGGTACCAGGTGTCGTTCAAACCGGTCAAAGTTAGTCTTCCTTTTGTCTCCCAAAACATCGAGCAAAATACACGATACATATATAAAAACGGCGATAAAAATCACACCAAAAAGAAGTACAGAAAAATTTTTATAGTTTTCATTTTGCAGTGATATTATAATTATTGTGCAAAGTTTGATGGTGAATAGACATTCTTAGCGCTGCCAACATCTTCCTAAAGTTGCGTGACGAATTGACAGTCTAGGCAAGGCGAAAACGGCTTTTTCTAACAAATTTTCAAACTTTTTAAATTTTCAGCCGGAACAAAAATCGCTGGAACTTTAAAATATTTTTTCGAAACTAGTTCACAGAAAGGGATGTTTTGGCAAAATAAAAAAAAATTTCATTTTTCGTCGCTGATTTTCGATTCTCGAAATATTCTGGCGGCTTCTCTTAAGGGCTACAATTATTATAATGATGGAGAATTACTTTCTTTTTTAACAATACTTCATATTCGTGGCTCTTCTAATGAACCTCACTAATCAGAATCAACGACGGTGGTCCTCTTGTCTCAGCTAATTAAAACATTTGGATTTCGGTTTCGTCAAAAATTCGTACGGGTTTTCGGATTTGGAATCCGATGCGGTTTTTTGTTTTTTCCTATTTAGGTTTCGGTTTGTCGTCGATCTAAGCAGAATATCTTCTTGTTCAACCTCTACTCGCCGGCGAGTGCGATCGGTTGTTATAATCTTAGCTCTATCTCTGGCGTTTTAAGTATAGTCGATTGGTTTGTCCTTTCGATTTGTCCCGTATTCATGGCTGGTCTCTTCTTGGTGTATGGCACAACGCAGTGTCTGCCGAAAATCACTAGTTCTGACTATTAATGGGCTATAAAGAGTTTTATTCTGGTCTTAAGATACTGGACTTACACAGGGTAAATGAACTAACATGGTCGAATCCCTGGATGGAATGCAATCTTAACTCCTTACGGTGACCAATTTACATTAGCAACTCAGTCGATAAAGCCAAATTGTCTAATTAAAAATGACTTTCCATATATTCTTGTTCAAACTCTTCTTGCTGGTAAGCGAGATTGAGTGAAAGGATTCGTAGCTCTATCTCCGACGTTGCAGATGCAGCCGTTTGGGTTTTTTTCTCGATTTGTTCCGTCTGTATGGTTGCTATTCCCTTCCTACAACACGAACGCAACGCTTGCTGAAATTCAGGAATTCTCAGTGCGTACACAACTGGATTGACAAAAGAGTTTGAATAATTTAAAATGTTCACCATGAAATAAAACTTCCATGGTATTGTGGTCTTTGTTAGATAGTATAAAACGTTCATAATAAAAAAAGGAAGCCAACATAGTAAAGCCAGCATGGATACAAGAAGTAAAGTCTTTGTTAAGCGTTTCCTTCGCAGAGCTCTGTTCTGATGGTGTGATGTAACCCTTTGGTGTTGAAGACCTCTCCAGATCCCGATGTTGCAGACACACATGATGATTGTTAGACTTAACAAGACGGGGATAAAAACATACAAACCAGATTCAAATGAAATAAAAAACGACAGCAAAGTTACTATCGTGGACAGACAGACTGCAAGTGTCCAAAGTATAAAAATGGCGATGCGATATGTTTTGGTGGATAATGATCGGTGTTTAAACGGCCAATATACGGCATGGAATCTCTCACAGGACATAAAGGCTGCAGATAGATACGAGCCGAACACAAACATGGTATCAAAACCTGTGAAGAATATTTGGAAGGCCAGATGATCTAAACCATATCTAACTGTCCAAAGCTGTAGAAAGCCTCCGACAGAATAAATGTAAAAAGGTAGAGTAATGGCTCCCAGCATCAAATCAGCAAAAGCCATATTCATGATTAGGAAGAAACTTTTCTTTTGGAGAGCTTTGCTAACTGCAAAGAGAACGAGAGTAAGTAAGTTTCCTGTAATAATTAAGACAGATGATAATGCGAAGGCGCTGCACAATGCAATGCCCTCTGCCATAGAAGGAATACTTCTTGCAAATTCGGACGCATTCTTCAGGCTTTCGTTTACTGGCGACGTGTCGATCATTATAAACGTACAACTGAGTGATTAAGGAAGAACAGTTTTATCGGGAAAGATACGGTGTTTTGAAGAACTCCTCCGTTCTGCAACAACACGAAGTGAAAACAGCTGAGAACTTATTTATATGTCTCGGTAATTTTATTCAAAGTTCTCATGCAATTGAGGTAGACATTAAATATCGAACTAATAATTTATACCAAGTAGTAATCTTCGCGTCACAAAAACTGTCCATAAATCTCCTCAGGATCGCTTAGATGTTCCTCGTCGACATATAATACTTTGGACTGAATGGGTTGTCTCAGTTTCTTAACTTCTGAGAAAAAATTTCCGACTCACGGTCTTTCTTGTTAAGAACCGTGATTGGAACAAAAATTTCACTTTGAAATCGGCACTCTTAATCCCGCTTTTCATTCAACTAATTTATTTTGTTTTTCTTGTTTCCATGTTCCCACCAATAGCGTAGCTCCATTCTCTGCCGACAAACACATACACATCACCCCTAATGCCTTCTTTATTTGTATCCTGCTCGCTTGCCAAACTCTAACTAACCTGTCGCACGAAACAATATTTTTCTACTCGCTGGGGTTATTGTCACGAAATGTTTCGTGTTTGAGTACGAATCGACCAACGAGTTGAATACGGACCAACACCAACTGGGTGGAGATCTCTTAAACTTGGTAACAAATCAGCTAAATACGGAACGTAAATTGTCGATTGAATTGTCTGTTCGAACTGAGCGGTTGAATACAAAAAATTCTAACTTTCTAAACATGCTCAACGAGGACAAAAAATTGTACTATATACACTAAAACAGTGAATAACGTAGAAGACGCGCTCTGATTGGCTACTCAAACTCCGAATATCTTTTGTAATTTCCCCTTCGAGCAACTCGTGCGTGATTTGCGCCCCAAAATATTGCAATCGTTGCAGGAATAACTGAGTTAAAATTATCGCCTCCCATTTAGCTCAACGGATAGAGCGCTGGACTGTTGTGCGGGAGGTCGAGGGTTCGAGCCCCGGCCGGACCACGTACCAACACTCAAGGTCTTAAAACAATTGAGAAGAATATGCTACCTTTCTCTAACATCAAGAAATGGTTAGATATTCTAGTCTTCTCGGATAGGGACTAATAAATGGAGGTCTTGTCTCGTGCAGGGTTGGGGTAGGAGACGTAAATTTCCCACGCACGAGATTACTGTGTGATGGATGTCCTTCCCTGGGGTGGGATGGATGGGTTGGGTCTACGTGAGGGACTATTTCTCCTATTGTTCTCCCACCTGTACAAACGTACAAATCTTCAAATACAATACAATACAATCCAATCTTTTTATGGCAGAATAAGATTATCCCACTCTGTAGTATATACTTAAACAAACATTCTCTTCAAGGTTGGTGGTTAGCTGTGGAAATTTACTCCGCAGCTTCTACCACTAGCCACTATTTAGATGAAAAGTTGTTAACTATAAAATACAGATCATTTAAGATGTGCCTCGTGTTCAATCGATACTAATATCAATTCGACTTACTCCAATACGAGCTCAACTCACTTCGAGCGATAACATTCAAATATATCTGATTTGCACTTAGTGTTTTATAGTTTTGGCGCCAGAGCGTTGTCCCAGGGAGTCTGGGGACCAACCCCTCTTTTTATTTAAAGTCGCGAAGAATCTAATATTCAAATAACGGTCAGCCAGAGATCACGAAAAGATCTAAAAGAAGTATGGAATGCCCTACGAATTGTAAGTTAAAATTTCGTTACACTCTCAAATGTTATTCGATATTTAAAAAAATCTGTATTTGTTTTTTAGTTTGACTTGCTTCCTATGGCAACAAGTACAAAAATAAACGGCAACCATACATCAGAAACTTTCAAAGCTACAGTAACGCTTCAAAACGAAAGCGCGAATCAATATCATCGTTCTAACTAACTGAAAGCAACGCAACAATCACAACATTTTATCCTAAACGAATCGTGCTGTAGTTATCTAGTGACGTAAATGATCAGAAAGTATGAGGCAGTTTGTTTGGTTTACGCTTACACCAAGTTGCGATTGAGGGTTAAAAGTACAGCACACAATTCCGCAGAGTGTGGATAGAAACGTAACTCAATGCTCGGCAAAGACACTCTTAAATCCTCGTACGATAGCGTCCACACTGACAAAACTATAACTAAGAGAATAATTAGCTCTATCTGACTTAATTGCCTTTCTATAGTGGGTCGATTTATAGACGAATAAAACGTGATTAGGTGTTGGTATAGCGATAACTTATTTAATAACGTAAAGCTCCATACCAATATGGGTTAACAAACGTGAGTAATACTCAGTGGGGTAGACCTGAATCTGAATTTCTGCGTGACTATTTATTTTGGAACTGACACATACGATGCCAAGATTTGTGCCCGCAATACCTTTTCTCGCGTATGCTTAAAATAGCACCTTGTACGGACGGTCAATGGAAAGGTCACGTGATAAACTACACTTCCTCAGCTCTATGGTTACTACCGTTTTTCATAAGTACGGGGCTTCGCTGAATCGCGAAGTCTGCTAACTCTTCATAGGTAGCAAGGGAGAAAGTGTGTTATGATCATTTAAAACACTCTGTCACAAAAAAACCTAAACAACTCTTTAATTGTAACAATTGTGTTGGTTGCAGCTTGAAAATATTTCGTAAAATATCGCCCTTAGAACTCAACCTATCACCGCCAACTTAACAATAACGTAAGAGAATACTGGTATTCTGATAATGAGTTTCCATACACAAGTCAGTTTGCTGCAATTTGGCAAGCGTCTTCTTTACCATGATTTACAAAGGTCTATTGTAAACATATTTTCGTTAAAGAAAAGGAGCCCATCCAATGTACATCCGGCATAAGTTATCATCGCTTGTGGCCTCCTGTAAGATTTAAAACATCAAGAGTCTAAATATCGTCAGAAGAGTTGGCGAAAGGGTTCTTACGGGTAAAGACCACCCCAAGGGCATGACACAAGGGCCTTCGCCAGGCCTGGAACCCAGAGCCAGAGCTCTCTAAAAGAAGTGTCCTAACCAGAAGACAAGTAATTTTAAGACGTTCCGCTTAAATGAGTGAAGTTCCTCGTTTGTATTGTTAGTTAAATTTCTTTCAACAACAATTTCCATTTCATTTCCATCAGTCAGTCAGGCAGTTATTCTTTCGACAACAAACTAATGAATGAGTTAGGTGTAAAATCCAAAAGAGGATAATGATAACAACCTTCAAAAGTTACCCGCAGTTTCTCTCCCACACTTTGCTTAACTACAAAAGGAACAAGCCGCTCTTAATCTTGAAAAAAAAAAGAAAAACAAAAAAGGAGGAAAACAAAAAAACTACAGGAATTAAACCATAACCCAAACCAACATACAAACATACCATCAATCAAGCAACCTCACCTCGATCAGGTAATGCACCTGTCCTTCTATCGAGAGAGGAATCATGATCTTGCTTGTTCCTTCAAAGCCTTTTATCCGCCTTTCAACATCTTTCAGAATCTTAAGACCCTGAAAATGGAGAACGAAAGAAACCGTTATAATATTTCCACAGTGACCCAGTGGTTAACAAAAGAGGTTTGAGTTCGCGCCCTCTAGTCTCACATTGCCTACGCGTGCCCTTACCCAGGAGCAAAAACTGGTGACGACAAACCGAAGAGGACGCCGACAGAAATGTTATAGGGGGTGGGGGGGTGGAGGGATCTGTAATGGACAAGCATCCCGTCCAAGGTTAGTAGTAATACTCCTGCTCCGCCGCTAAATAACTTTGCTTTTGCTTTTGTGACAATCAAACTTGAAGCACTTTAAACTGCTATTAGTTGATTCTTAAAGGTTTTGTGCCGGAACTACTTCCTGGTCCGGAACACATTTTAATATATCGAGTTTGGCTTCTCTCAAGCCATATGGATTAGGCTCCTATTGTTAGTAGAGATGTTTTCTAGGCTCCCTAAATTGACTACCCTAAATAATACATGATTATATCTTATGTATGAGTAGTTTATTCATAACGACATCTATCCATCAATGTAAATACAATCGTGAAATCGCAAATTCTTTCCGCGAGGATTGTAAATTAGGACACTCACCTCTTCATTGGTAACTTCTCCTGTTTCTCTGTTCTTTGATGCCTCGGTAAGTAGTTCCCTTCCTTTAGTCCTCTGCCACTCCACAAGGGGATCGTAAATAAAGGTTCTTAGGACACTAAAAAAGGAAGCAAAGGTTTGAGCGTAATGTCATTAACGCATTTAAGAGCAAGTTGCAATTGGGGGTCAGAAGTAATCCTGGGTTACTGTCTTCTGCTTTCTTTCATTACGTGATTGGCCAGGAAACTAGCGCCAATTTCTTAACCCATCAGATTCAAAACTTAAACTAATCACGGAAAAGCCACTCCCGTTTTCCAGCGCTTTACGGAAATTGCTTGTTTCTACTCTGAATTCTAATTAGCTCCCTAAGAAAATTTCCTTTCCTCTGATTGGCTGTTGTTTTTTTCTTCTTAGTTTTCGTTTTCGACAATCAATAGAGTGCTACAGCCTGCATCTTTTTCAGGCCTTATTTCCACTACTGCTTTAGTAGTGTTCATTACTGCGAAGATCGCTTTCACATTTACCTCTTAAACCGCATTTCACATATATGATGTTCATATATTCATAGTCATTAGTTGGCGCGTTTCAAAAGAATCCGAGACTAACAGGTCCATTAGACCCTGTGTTTGGTCAAAAATACTTGCCTACAACGTCCACCAATCAAAAACAAAATAAAACTCAACCGTGACCTTGACCCTCATGTTTTGTGGCACTTCAGGCCCTCTAAAGTTGGCTCGTTGCGTACTCACAAAGGCCTGACTGGTCAGCGTGATTACTCTGGACTTATTTTAACAAAACTTAGTCGAAAAACCTGAGCGCAAAAAGTTTTGAACTCACGTGAGTAAAGAATCACACTGATTTCTCAGAAGACGTAAGGTGACTTCACAAGAACGACGAAAAACTCCCTCGTATCCAAGAGGACCCTACCGAGGGAAAAAACAATTTATGGTGATTACATAACTTTTTGTTCAAGCTAAAAGCACTACGGCTGTCTTAATAACCAGCCAAATGAAAACGTAATGAGACCTCATTTGCTATATTTTGTTTGACTATTTGTATCTTTTATTTATTTATTTATTTTTTGTTTTTTCTGGAATCACTCACCATCGCATTAACTATGTTATGTGTTAATCGAAATGGTACGCGTTCTGGACATTCGAAGCTTTCTCCCTGCAAAAAAAAAAATAAATTAATTAATAAATAAATCTAGCCGATAACAAGATCAGTGTTACTGCCACGATGGACTTTCCCTGTTATAAGAAGTAAACCAATGTTCACAGAAAAATTGAAGTTTACACATTTTTGCTTAATATTTCTCTCTGATTGTAATTTATAGACAAGGATTAAAACAAAAACGAGGTCTATGCCACAAACAAAACTAAAGCAAAGTTTGTGATGCTCCATGTTCGTACGCAACGACGGACAGCTGTTCAGTTGGCCAATTGAAGTCTGACCATTATGACAAAATTCAAATCCGTAATGCTAAAAGTGATCGGCCTTGTAAGTGGCGGAAGGCTCATTTAAAATTACCGCACGATAAACCTAAGACAAACGTGTCAAACAGTTGGTAAAATGTTTGGCTAGTTTTCAAACAGTTTAATTTGACCTGTCCAATCAGAATCAGCTATTTATAATCGGACGGGTCGAGTCAGACAGTTCTGGTTTAGTATCAGCCACACTAAGCAACAAATAAAGAACCAATACGATTCAATTATTGTCAGCAAGGAAGTCAGAACGTGACAAGTCACATATGGAAGGAAGGAACTGACCTTTTTAAAGAGACAGTTGAAGTCCACATGGACGCAGTCTCCACTGGTAGCATCAAACAGAATATTCTCACCATGGCGATCACCAAGACCTAGGATATGACCCACCATACACATAACCGCAGACGTTCGGCAGTATGTCAGGCGGCTCATATACCTAATAAAAAATCGAGAGAAATTGACTTTTATCAAATTTTATAACATTTTACGAACTGAACCCGTGGATCGATTAAATCAATAAAGTACTTGGAAAAATACGTACCACGAAGTTGGATTAGGAAAAGTCTTCAGGAACCACTCATGAAAAACGGAAGGGTGCCTGTTTGTCAATAACGTCGAAATGGAAATGTCATCATTTCACATCATATACTGTAAAACTGAAAAAATGACACATAGTCTACATAGATACCCACCTAGGAAGGATCTCATTCAAGAAGACACGTTTCTTGTCCCTAAAGTAAGGGAGTATATGAAGAATTAGTTTTCGATTGAGTGTTAAAAGTAATCCACGAGTGCACTGATCTTGTTTCGCTTCGTCTGTGATTGGTCTAGAAAACCCGGGCTACCCTCTCAACCAATCAGATTCAATCTTAAGCCACCGCTATTTGATTACTTGTGTTATCTGCGCTTCAGACTGTCGACAATTAGGTACAATTATGTACTTTGAGTTCCTACCAACTCGTGCTCAATTTAACTCTCTTTTAAATACTACTTTCACTCAGTGGTGAGACGGGTTGTCTCGTATGTGAAGCGGTGGTTTAAACTTGTTTGATGTTGCTCACATATAAAAATTACTAACACGGGTTCGAGCGAAATGATGACAAGAAATTTTTACTGTTTGTTATTGCTTATGTCTATGTTTTTTTTTCTTGCTTTTGCTTTTAGTTTTCTTCAAATAAAGTATTTTTCTCAACAGGAATGAAAAAAGAGCAACGAAACAAAAGACAACAAAAAAAGTCACACAGTAAAATGAACACCACCAAAAGACTCACTCAGGTTTGCTTCCTGCTCTGTCCATTAATTTCTTGAGTTCCCCACCTCGAGTATACATATTTTTCTCTCTGTAAACGGAGGAAGAAGTCATAGATATGGTTTAGCTTCCCCGACCAAAGTTTTTGTTTGTTTGTTTTTTTTTTTATCATGAACCTTTGTGCCCTTCTGTATTTTGTATTGGATTAGACAACTTAGATACGATTAGTTTTAATATCAACTAAGTTGAAATTGTAAATTGGCCACGCTTGAAACGTCAGCTTTTTAACTCTTTACGGTGGCCAATTTACAATTTCAACCTAGTTGATATGACCAAATTACCTTGTTACCCCCACCGACGCAGCAACACAGTTTCTTTAGAAACTTACCCCCTTTATACGATTAGTTTTAGGTTGGTAGCTGGCTTCAAGGGTAGGGTGATGTAAAGCGTATCCTAATTCCTCTTTGGCCAGCAACAGGCCATAGTACTCCGCTCAATTAGCCGATTCTTTTTCCGCATAAAAAAAGCTATTATTGCTTTTTTAACTACACTTCAGTTACAGGCTTAAAACAGCAAAATAATTAAACGACACACTTACTTGTAAATTTTCGTGAGTATGTTTCTCAATCCATGAGTATTCTGTACCCATTCTAGCAGTCCGCATTCTTCATTTAGGGGAATCACCGCCTAGGAAAAGAAGAACTTCGTAAATAAAAAGAGGAAAAGTACAAGGCGAATGTTCCACTGAGGTATGCCGTAGAGGAGAGGGACACTCGATTTTGAAAACAACAAATACAAAAACAATGAAAAAAAACAACAACAACAACAACTAACTGATACTCATCCTCCTAACTGGAGAAAACTGAACTGTAACAAAATTCTGGAACTTGATTGGTTAACACCAGCCCAATTTGAGCACTATTCGGACGGTGTTTAGGTCATGCCTTTGTAATTGTACTGTAGCTGTCATGTACACGCACTGATATCTTGCATCACGTCGAGTTATTTTTTCCAAAACGTATTACAGATAGCTAATTTGTTTCTTAAATGGTGTCATAGTTTTGAATAATTGGTAACGGAACTGAGTGTGGTCCAATTCTGTCTGTAATCACACTCGTGATTGGACTCAACTCAGCATTATCATCATTACAAATTCAATTGCAAAGATGAAAGCAAGCGAATCCCTTTCGGTTCTTTGCCCTTCCAGGAAAACATGCTGAGTTGTCTTTTGATTACTACTCCCTAAACAAATTCAATTCATCATTGGACTTACATAAGTACGAATGTGCAGCTGCCTTCGTCGAGATTCAGGGTCTTTTCTTAAACACTAAAAATTTGAAAAGAAATATTAGAAAAATGTTGTTACTATCATATGGAAAGACACAAACATATTGCCACGCTTGACAACGTCATAAAATATTAAACCATCTACTAAAGACCTGAACAGTGTAACAACCCAGATTGAGGAATATCTACAAAACAGAATCAATTGTGAGTAATCCTTGATTCATAATTAAGGAATAGGAAAACAAAAGTTTCAAAGAAACTCCTATCCATTTTGATGAATGAATGGCCACCCGATGAAATGACTGAATGGCTGAATGAACTGACTCACTGACTCACTGATCCACTGACTTACTGACACACTTATCCACTGGCCCCACTGATTGACTAACTTTATGTCTTTTATCTCTCCACTACTAATTCTGTATTTGCATAGAAAGATCCATTATTTTTATTGCATAAATCAAACCTTGTTGATGAGGGCGTTAAACTCCATTGTTCGACAATCCTTCCGAAGATCATCCTGTTAAAGAATACAGAACAAATAAGGAGAGACGGGCAGTGGCGTTTCAAGTGTGTTTAATAAAGATGTTTGAGCTGAACTACCTTTTCTGTCACTGTGCAATTTTCTTAGTTGAGATTAGGCTACAAGATTGATTATGGAATAAAAACTGCAGCGAGTCAGACATCTTTCTCAAAGCTGAGGGCTATGTTAAAAAAAATAAAAGAAGATTTATCTTTGTTTTGTATTTTATCACGATGAATTTCTTCACTGAGGCTAAAAGCTCCCAACTTAGATTCAAATCTTGTCCATTTTCAATTTCTTTATTTGAGAAATCTGATGACATCATCCGAAAGGGTGGCAATATTCATGTCCATACTTCGAAGAAACATATTTCTTTTTGAATTTGTTAAAAAGGACAAATAACAAACCTTGGGTTTACACATCATGGTGTACGAGTTTCCGTCACTGCCTTTAATGGTGATTTTCTTGGGTTTCTGTAGAGATGCTAGAACATCAACCTATTATGAAAGATACATAAAAAATGTAAATCCACAAGAAAAAAAAAAACTGAACACAAACTGAACAAAACAAAACAAAACAAAGGAACGATCTCCAAAAATGTCAATGTAATTGAGTGTAATGATATGATCGTCTCTTTTGCTTAGAACTTAAAACGAATTGCGAGAACACATCACACTAACCCAGCCAAGGACACATCGATCCAGAATCGACGGCACTAACCTTTGAGCCATAACGCATTTCTCATTCAAGAAAGAGCCCTTTATCGAACCACTTTAAGGCAAATACTAACCTTGTCCTCAAAACCGACGATACAAGGTAATGAGCCTGGGAATGGATTGTGATCATGATGGCTTCCGGCTCCTGATGGCAGGGTCACAGTCATGGCGGACTGGAGAGGAACTATTATAGGACTAAAATCTCTGAAAAAGAAAACAAAACAAAACAAAGAAGGGTTAAAAATCCAAAAATTCTATAAAATTCACCAAACGACTTTTTACCACAATTGGCAGTAATGTAGCAATCTGATTGGCAAATTTGCCGTTGTCGATAGGGGTACAGACAACGGTACTCTCGTCAACATGTTACGTACTCAAAGGATCGTTTTATTTTACGTCGATATTGTAGTAAAAAAAAAAAAAAATTAAACAAATCGACGGTGGTTTAGCGTGATCTGTACTCTAATCGACAACGAAATTCGTCATCACTGTGGTCAAAATTTGTTGCGGACACATTCGGCTGCGCTAAACCAGTGCTAAACTACTGTCTATTCGATAAATTTCAATTTTTTGGTGTATTTAAGCACTTGTTTTTTTTTTTCCTTGATGGATAACAAAGATAACAGCCTTGTTCTTTGATTTATACAAGGTAAATTTATACACTGAACAAGCCTATCTAGGTGGGCCCGTCAAAGGTTTTGAAATCAAAAATATGTCAGTAGCAAATGATAAATAAAGTTACGCGATCAAGTCGTGCGAAGGGCCTACAAGTGTTTTGGTCATGGGGGAAGCAAATCTAAACACCTCACCCATCAGAAACAAGCCTCTTGAGAACAGAGAAGTCATGACTCATGCTCAACTTGTCTTTGGAAGGACCCTTAATCGATACTTCCTTGTTGCATACTTCAAGAAGTCTGTCAGCTAGTCTTGTGGAGTGCTACGAAGTGAAAAAGAAAAGCATGTTACCAAAGGTAAACAAACTTCACCACTGATGTGGTCATGTGCATGTATTGACAGAGGGGAACCAATACATATATCTTATTAACCAAGCGCGAGGGCCGTACTGGGAGAATATCGGCCCGAGGTCTTGACAGTACGGACCGAGCGCAGCGAGGTCCGTACAATAAAGACCGAGGATCGATATTCTTCCAGTATGGTCCCGAGCAAGCTTGGTTAATAAAAGATTTATTATACGACTGAAGTTCAAAGGGACACAAATGTCGTATCATTCGGGACCATTCGGGACAGTGCCCGGTCCAATACTTAGAGAATATTGGACCGGCAATAGAGCATTTTGATTGGTTGATTTTAGTTATTGGCCCTCTGACTGCCCGAGTCGTGTAATAAATATCAGTTGAACTACGTTAAAAGAAGTAAATTATTCATTAAAATGTCATTTGCAGTCCGCACCACCTTTTCCACCTATGTTTCCAGTTTTGGTGTTTCACTATTCTACCAACGAGAGTGAGGACAGCCTTATTGTTTTTGTGTTAATGAAAAGGTCTCTGTTCCAGGTCCGACCGATTCACCGGAATGTTCTTTTGTAATAAATTTTACTCTCTAAACTTAGGGAGTCAGAGCTTCCTTGCAGACTAGTATAAGCTACTACTGGATGGAACAGGTGTTTCTCTATAAAACTGACTTCCATAAACTACGACGCTTTAATTACATACGGGAATAAAAAAAAAACTTAAGTTCACTAGTTAGCCCTTCAAATACAAATATTGTATCATGTTTTAGGGAAAGAGTTAGTAGATAAATTCATGATTTCAATTTACACATTTCTCGAGAGCGGGGATATTCAAATGTTTGGGTTCTCCTGGGAATTCAAACCTCACACTCGGACCTTTACATTCGAATGCACTTCACTTAAGAGAACTTGTAGGCGAGCTACCCTCCACACCAGCTTTGTATATGACGAACGTTCTGTGTACTGCTAGTGCAAGAACATTGAAACTTATTTGTAACTGAAATTATGTGACCCACGGTCAAAGCCGGAAAAAAATAAAGAAAAAGACAAAAAAATATATTTTTAGCGTAACAGCATTTCATCGAAAACTTACCTCAAGGAACTTGTTTAATGTAATGTCACGCGAACTAAAAAAACAGACCGTGAAAAAGAGAAATAAATGCTCGTTAGACATGCACTATTGATAGCAAAGAAGAAGCTTGTGCACTAATCCCTTCACCTTCCCAGATCTGTAGAAAAATTTTCTTCCTGA